GATCCCAGGACCCTGGGACCACGACCTGAGCCAAAGGCAGACACTTAACGACTGAGCCACCCAGGCGCCCCTCCTCTGATGATTCTTGCCTGAGCTATTAATGTGATGGTCACCAAATGGTGATTTTTCTAATTCTCTTCTTCCTCCTATAGTGATTATATATCATTCTTTGTGATTCTACTGCAAAGAGCTTTCCCTTTGTCTCCATGTATTTTTTTTTTAAGATTTTATTTGTTAATTTGATAGAGTGAGAGCATGAACAGGGGGAGCGGCAGAGGGGGAGGGAGAAGCAGGCTCCCTGCTGAGCAGGGTACCGTGGCATATAGTAAGGTATTCCAAACTCATCTTACTTTTAGTGCACCAGACCTGGAATCAGCTTTTTCTTCAAGGAACCCCGTTCCTTTTGTTGGAGAATGGTATTTAGAAACCATGATAACGGTGCTGGTTATGCTGATGGCTACTGGGGCATTATTGCTTCCAGGCCCTTTTAGAAGAGAGAGCTAGGAAGATGCGTATGTATATGCATGCACAAATGCACACGGACATACCCAGAACCATACATCTGTATTTCTCTAGCCATCTCTGTGTGTATGTTAAAAATTAGAGTTTACATTACCTCCAATTCTAATCTGGTTTATTCTGGTTTTCTTCAGATCTGGTTGTATCCCCTCTCCAATAGTGAGAAACCTGGCTCTCATCATCCTTACTATGTTTACATATTCACTAGTTTCTTTCTTTCCTTGTTTAATTCTACTCCATGTGTTCAATCTCCTGACCATATGGACTATCTCCCTGGGCTTTGGGCTCAGCCTCATACCCATTCCCCCGGCCCCACCGACTGTGCTGGCAGTATCGAAGGCTCCTATCAAGAGCAAGTCAAGGAGAGGGCAGTGACCAAGGAGAAGAGGGGGAAGAAGAAGGGAAGGTCCTATTTTGTATTTTTATTAGCTGCTCTACTCATAGGCATTTTAGCTGTGATGGTGTAGAAAGTAGTACTGATGGAGAATTTTGTTTTTCATCGCTCTCTCCATTTTTCTCTCACTCAAGATGGTTTCACCCAAACATCACTGGCGTGGAGGCAGAAAACCTGCTGTTGACAAGAGGAGTTGATGGCAGTTTTTTGGCGAGGCCCAGTAAAAGCAACCCTGGAGACTTCACCCTTTCCGTCAGGTAAGTTGGAAGAAAAAGAGAACCCTGCAAGGGTTTTTCAGGTGGGAAATATTGAACCCCCCCCCCCGCCCCTGCCCCAGGATAGCTTGCTACCCTCATTGAGAGTTTGAAGGCCTGGCCCATGGGTCAGATGTGACTCAAGCCTGCTTGCGGGGCTCAGGCGTGGCCTCCTGAGAGTGGGCATGTGGGAATGCGGCAGAAGGGGCGTCATGATGGGCATTTCTTCTCCCTGAGAGACCCCTGAGGGTGAGGTGGACAGAGTGTTGCAGGTCCTTAAGCCACGCACTGCCTGATCCTGGTTCCACTCATCCTGAACCTGGTTGCCTGCATTTTTCCTTTTGATTTCTTAATGGGAGGAATGCTTTTTAAGAGTCTGTTCAGATCACTTTTTCAAGAAATTAACATCACTGAGGAAGTTGTGGTCCTGTTTGTCCCCCTGCCCAGTCCCATTCCCCTCCCTCTTTCCCCAGAGGAAACCACTCTCCAGAGGTTGGCATATATCCTTCCTGAATGTGTTTTTATACTTGTACTGTCTGGGTACTATTGTGAACAATATAAAGTTGGTTTGTGTGTTTTTAGAATTCACATGCATGGTCTTATATCTATTATTCTGCAACTTTTTAAAGTTTTTGAATTCTCTGCTGGTACATATAGATCTAATTATTCCTTTTAATGGCCAACATAATTTATTTACTTCCTTATTTAAAAACAGTAATAATAAAAGCAAATTCATAAAGCAGTAAAGTTATAGCTCCTGGAATAATCTAGAGTAAAGGGAATAAGTACATAAGAGAAGGTCAGTTTCTAGAAAAATTCTGTCACACTTGCTCAAAGAGACATGTAACAGGATGTTGGTCATACTGTTCAAAAAAATTTAAAACAAACTAAAAGCAACTCTGTGTCCCACAATAGAGGGTTGGATAAACTGTGGTAGGTTTATTTAGGATCCCTTTGGGACTTGGGAAATCTCTTTTTGGCTTAGATTAGTTTTTTGAGGAGCCCCTGTCCTTAGCTTTTAGTTGTGGTTTTTTGGTTTTGTTTTTAGATTTTATTTATTTATTTGAGAGAGAGAGAGTGCATGCGTGAGAGAGCGTGAGCAGGGGGAGGGGTAGTGGGAGAGGGAGAAGCAGACTCCCCACTGAGCAGGGAGCCCGATGCGGGGCTCGATCCCAGGACCCTGGGAACATGACCTGAGCCAAAGGCAGATGCTTAACGACTGAGCCACCCAGGCGCCCCCTCAACTTTTTATTTTGAAAAATTTATGACCTGTAGAAAAGTTGAAAGATGAATATAGTGAACACCCACGTGCTCTTCACCTGCCAGTTTTGTCATGTTTGCCCTTTCTGAGTATGTTTGTGTATATACATTTTTTCCCCCTGAACTTTTTGAAAATAAATTGCAGATAATCAGGATATTTATTTTTACCTTTATTTTATTTAAACATTTTTTTTAGAGATTTTATTTTTAAGTAATCTCTACACCCAACGTGGAGCTCAAACTCATAACCCCGAGATCCAGAGTCGTATGCTCTACTGACTAAGCCAGCCAGGCGCCCCTATTTTTACCTTTAAATACTTCGGTGTGTATGTCGGATAAACAAGGGCATTCTCCTGTATAACTACAATACCATTATTATAGGTAAATTTTAACCTTGCTTTAATAATATTGTTGAATATATAATATATCATCTGTATTCAGGTTTCCCTTATTATTTTAGAAATGGCTTTTGAAGCAGTTGAGTCTCCCCCTGCACCCCTGCCCCTTCCCCCAGACTAGATTCAGGAGGATCTCATCAAAGATCATTCATTGCATTTAATTTTTATGTTTCTAGTCTCTCTCTCTCCTGACCTTTTCTTTTTATCCCTGTCTTTTGGGCAGTCAGGCCAGTCATTTCTTAGGTTGTCCTCCAATCTCAATTCGCTGATTGTTTCCTCATTTTTACATTCAGTTGAAACATTTTTGGCAAGCACACTCCAGAGGTGATGCTGGATCCACCCCGTTATTTCACTGGAGGAAGCGCAGAGTGTCTATTTGCCCCATCTTTCGGTGGTATTCAGTTTAATCCCTTGATTCAGGTGTTTGCCAGATTTTTTCATTACAAAGGCACCTTTTTCTTTTTGTAATTAATAAGTGGTCTGATGGGTGATAGTTTGTATCTTCTTCCCCAGTATTTTCTCATTTCATGTTTTTAGCATATGTTGATGAAGTTTGTCTGAATAAATCATTATATTGGCACCTGAAAAATTATTTTTCTAATTCTGTTCTTTTTTTTTTTTTAAAGATTTTATTTATTTATTTGAAAGAGAGAGCACAAGCAGGGGAGGGGGTCAGGTCAGGTGGGGAGAGACAGAGGGAGAAGCAGACTCCCTGCTGAGCAGGGAGCCAATGTGGGGCTGGATCCTAGGACCCCGAGATTACAAGATCATGACCTGAGCCGAAGACAGATACTTAACCAACTGAGCCACCCTGGCGCCCCAGCCTTATTATTATTTTTGATGTTCAAGTTGCCCCACATTTGGCCTGTGTGGTTCCTGTATCCTTTTGACATTTCTTCAGTGATCTTTGATTACATCCTTGCCTTCTGGTTCTGTGAGATGTTTCAGGCCATTTTTATATATGTATATATTTTTTTTTTTTTCCCCAAGCCTGGAATCATTCTTTTCTCTCAAGAGCCTTGATTCTTTCAGTGGGGAATGGTGTTCAGAAACCAAGATTTAGAAGCTAGGTGTGTTTATTGCTTCTCAGCCCTCACAGTAGACAGAGCTGGGAAATAAATATTTATATATTTCAAACCAAGTGTTCTTCTTTTTTTTTTAAAAGATTATTTATTTATTTATTTATTTATTTATTTATTTATTTATTGAGAAGCAGGCTTCCCGCCGGGGAGAGAGCCTGATGCGGGGCTTGATCCCAGGACACTGGGATCATGACCTGAGCCGAAGGCAGATGCTTAACGACTGAGCCACCCAGGCGCCCCTTGAACCATGTGTTCTTACTGATAGTTCAAGTTCAGTGCAACTTTCTTACCTTTTCCCTTTCCGTATTTGTATTTACCTTCTCCTGTGTGGAGAACCCTGCTTCCAGCAGCAGCAATATATGACCTCACTTGGCCAGTTCTATAATACAAAAATAGTTCCAGAATTATTATACCATTGTCATTTGTAACTACGAACCTGTTAAGTGAAGTTCATGATTTTTTCAGAGTCTTTTTTGTTCTTAGAATATATCCCACTAAAGGCAAACAGTCAGTACTGCTCAAAAGGTACTGGAATTAGTTTTCTGTGTAGTTGTGAGCTAATTACAAAGAGAGATTCATTTCTTTCTATTTGTTTCAGTGTTTTTCAGGTATTCATCTTTTTATGATCTTTGTTGATTTAATTGTATTTTTTGAATATGTGAAACATTTACAAGATTTAAAAATCAAACGGTATAAAAAGGTATTTTCTGAGAAATGCCATTCTTATATCCATGCCTTGCACCATTTCCATCCATCACTGTAGGTAATCATTTCCCTTAATTTCTAGTTTATCCTTTGGTTTCTTTTTACACTTATGAAGTAGAATACTATCTATCTTTCTTTATAGTTTACTTTTTTCACTTAACAGAAATCTTCTAATGATCTTTCTCATCTTTGTAGTCAACTGAATAGCATATAAATTTATACAATTTCCCTACAGATGGGAATTTAGTTTTTTCTAGTATTTTTTTTTTTAAAGATTTTATTTATTTATTTATTTATTTGAGACAGAGAGAATGAGAGAGACAGAGAGC